GCGACGAAGGCTCTCCGGATGATATTCCTCGGTGATAATTATTCGGTAACGACAACTCGCGATTGAAACGATAAGCATCTCCCGGCTTTGCTCCCGGCCCCGTTCGGCGCCGACAAGCGATCGGTGAGAGAAACGCGGAGACGAGAGGAGTTCCCTTGCGAGACAATCGGGATATGCGCTGTAAAGAGTTCGCGGCTGTGTTGGGTAACAAGCGGCGACAACTGCGCGCGCGTCGGAAGAAATCAGTCAGAATGCGGCAATTACAAGTCGCAACGTCACGGCTGACGTGCGGCGAGGTGACAATTAAACGGCGGGAGTTCGCGCCGACGAGGCTGCGAAACGCGCGCGCTACCTCGTTCTCTCGCGAATTACGCAAGCGGAAGCCGCGTAATCTGCGGGTCGGCCCGACTTTTCCGAAAGTTACGATAGGAAAAGTGACGCATTATCCCGCCGCTGTACGACCTCCCTCGTAACTGGACGATGGAGATAAACGACGGCTCGCGCGCACAATTATCGCTCTGTTCCGAGGAGAAAACGCGCGCTTTTAAGCCTCGCCGAGATCGCGCGCCGGCCGTTTGAACGTTTAATTAAGCGTTTCGGGCGCGGCAATGATACAGCGAAGGCGAGCGAGGCCGTCTCGAGAGCGGCAGTACGGAATGATCGCCGCGGAAAAGCGCCATTCCTCAGGAACGCACAGACAGGAAAGCCCAGTTGCCTCCTTCGACGCGTAGTGCGTATCGCCCGAGTCCAAGTCGGGTCCGATTTTTTCATCGAGACTTCTTTCGCCGGCATGCGACGGAGACGAATTATCCAGCTAGCGAGCTCTATCGATCGGCCAACGGCGATTAAGATAAATGTATCGATCTCTGAACAGTCGGAGCATTGTGAGAGAGAAGCTTACGTAGAAGCCAGTCGTGAAGGAGAGAACCTTATGGGATCTGTTTTAGCCTCAAATCAAGGGCTATTTTTAGAGGAAATTTTCCATCTTACATTGCAAGCTTAAATGCATTCGAAAGTCCAAAGCAATGTTCAAGTAACGGCACCAGCTTACTCGCTCAACAGAAAACGAGCCGAACTTTGCGACTGACCCAGTGCCTCCAGGTGTCACGCGAACGCGCTCATGAGCCCTCGAGGTTGACGCACTCTCGCGACACGCCTGCCTCTGGAAAATGTTGGCTGGATTATTTTAATGACCCCCACTGCCGCCGCACCCCAAGGAATCGAGCCCTCCGACGATCCGGCCATCTGGCCTTCGCGTTTTCCCCGGCGCAACGAGGCGGTGCCGCTCGCAAATGCGAGTAGATTGAGCAACCACCGCCGACAATTGCCGACCCCTCGCGCCGCATTGTCGTGCGAGAAATATTAATACTTTCCATTTCCTTCCGGGGAAGGACCCCGTTGCGCGGCCCCCTTCGACACGCTGTGAATGTCCCGTTCTAACTCGTTTAGCCGACGCGCGGTACGCATGTACGTAAACACGCGGCTCGTAGGGTGAGACCCGGACGCACGCTCCGCAATATCCCCTCCCCTCTCTCTCTCTCTGTCTCTCTCTCTCTCTCTCTCTCTCTTTTTCTTTCCTCTTTTTCCTGCGGTCAGTCGCACTTTTTAAGCGCGTGTACACTTCGACACGTGCAGGAGGATACGAATTAGCGACCGCCGCACCGCGCGCTGTGTGCTATACGCGAGATGTGCTCATAAGATTGTTTCTTACGGTCTATATACGGTGGCTCGATGGTTTCGTTTCACCGATTGCAATGCTAAGGCGATTACAATGCTCCACGAGTCGGTAAATATATATATATATATGTATATATATAGAAAAGGCTACACCTCGCCGATTTTTTTCATTTTGAAATGTGTTATAAAGGATGAAGTTCTGAGTGACTTTTCCTAATACAATTATACGGGGGTCGCTTATAGTTTCTGAGATATTTGACTTTAAAGTTTTATAATTGTATATTTGAGGTATATTTGAAGCAGAGGTAAATATATAGAAAGGGGTACACCTCATCGGTTTTTTTCATTTTGAAATATATTTTAAAGGATGAAATTCTGAGTGACTTCCTGATACAACTATATGAGGGTCGCTTATAGTTTCCGAGATATTTGATTTTAAAGTTTTGGAATTTTGATTATCCTGGAATTAAATTCCAGATATCATAAGCTGACGTTATTTACATTATAATTCAAACAGTTGATCCAAACATAGTGTATACATAGAAATATAGGAAACAATACATATAAGCGAGAGAGGGGCGCCGCCCCTCCCCCGCATCCCCTCCCCAAAAAACCTAACTTATTGCATCTTTATATATTGTTGGGCGATATTGAAAAGATCTCTTTAAAAGCCACAACACTTAATTATATGCAGATATTATAATAAGTTAAGTTGAGCCAGGTGATAGATCTTAAGAGAACTTTCTTCAGCAATGTCCAAAAATATATAAAGATGCAATAAGTTAGATTAGGTTAGGATTTGTTTGGGGAGGGGGTGCGGGAGAGGGGCGGAGCCCCTCTGTACTGTTTCCTATATTTAAAATAGATGAAAACTGCTTGTCCACTTCAAATTGTATTTCAACGTACAATTATAAAACTTTAAAGTCAAATATCTCAGAAACTATAAGCGAACCCCCCCCCCCCCATATAAATGTATTAAGAAAAGTCACTCAGAATTTCATCATTTCATTTTATAACACATTTCAAAATGAAAAAATATCGGTGAGGTGTACCCTTTTCTATATATTTATCGCCTTTTTAATCCCAAGTTCGGCGGTTTTAATATGACGTCGTTTCAGAGAATCAGAAAGTATATGTTGGCGAGACAATGGAATAGTAAAAATAAAGTACCGGTGAGAGAATAATAATTACATTGCCAGAAATCAAACAAATTCCTCGCAACGATCAAGCCGCATTCAAGTTCTCATTGATACATTCGAGCGTCTCGATTGAAAATCTAATTCTTGACAATTTTTATAATTGCCGGACTTGGATCGTTCTCGAGGTCCTTTTGACAAATCGACCGCTCTCGCGGATTCGGAGGATCGACAGAGACAATAGAGTCCGATTTAAATTCGCGATGATTGACGCCGAGCGGAAGATAGCGTGAGGATTGCATTCGCGTCGTTCCCTCGAGGTGCAGTAAGGTGGCAAACGCGACACGTGCGCTCTTTTATAATCTCGTTACGTGGATGCACCTGTGCGCGTCGTTCCTTTTCAGCTTTGCATATGAATGGCGACAAAAGAGTGGCTTACAAGACTGCTCGCACATGGCACCGGGCTCGCAGCGCCGGTCGCGACGTCCTTCTCAAGGATCGCTCTCAATTGTGTTTTCGCGTTTTCTCGCGCGACGACGTACCGTCGGAATGCATTCTCGGCAGAACAAGCTGATGCTGGTCGCCGCGTTCGATAGAACATGTACCGTCTTTCGAATGATTTGATCTTTTCGTGCTTTCGCGTCGCGTCCCGGAGACGCGCTGTCGACAGCCGAAATTGAGGACGGAAGTGCTCGCGATAAGTGCTACCGAGACCTCAACATCGGCCGACAACGTCGGCACGTGTGCGTATAAATCATAAATCAAGACTCTGACGTTCTCACTCACGCGACCGAACGTGCGATGTATACATATTTCGGGATTTACGCGATACACCGGTGCGCGTGCCTTTTTTTTTCGGCCGGCCATTTTCATAACCAGTTATGCGAGAACGATCTCGCTGAAATTCATCACGCGCTCTCGACGGCGCATAAATCCCGCGGCAATGAGTGCGTCGATTTTTCAAGCTACGAGATAATCCCGTATCTTTCAGTCTGTCCATTTCGTATCTTCGAAGCTTCCCAACAAAATACGAAACCACGGAGCTCCGTCTGTGCGAAGATCGAGCTTCGGTGCTCAAACGAATATTCGTAAACTCGTGATTTACGCCAGTAGGCGAGGGGAGGGAAAAAGAGAGAGAGAGAGAAAGAGAGAGAGAGAGAGAGAGAGAGAAAAGTCTTCCTCTCGTTACTTCTCTCGCGTTGCAAAAGGTGCGTTAAACTCGCCAGGTACACTCCTCGTAATGTAACGGAAGTAAATTGCGCGTTTACGGATTAAAGCGGCTTTCTCAGGTTCGTGTCTCACATTACGTCGCGGGCGGGCGCGGCTAATTTTATATCATTAACATACGCGCTCGATAGACGATCTCGCGCGATTAACGTACGTTCCCATGCGTAATGCTTGATTTTCGTCATCGCGTTTATGCGTGTCCTCCCGTCCCCAGCGCCGGTCATCGTGCGCAGCTCTTGCTGCACTGTGCGAGAGCGTGGTCTCACGCCGGATGGAAAACCGCCGCAATTACCAGTCATCATCTTTCAGATAGCAACCGGAAGCGGCGGCGGCGGCGGCAGCTTTATCCGATTTTACACGAGCTACACGTTACGAGAGAGAGGAGGACGTTTCGCAAAAGCCGGACGGGAGATTACGAGCCGCTAGGGTATTCGGCGTGTACGCGAGCGCGCGAGTAAGAGTGATATCTCAGTGAAATCATCGATGACGATGACGGGAAGCCATAACGGCGAGAACGCGAGAGACGCGACTTTCGATTCTCGCCTACGGCGCGACGCGGCGCGGCGCGGCGCGGCGCGGCGAAGCAGATGCGAAACCGGAGAACGAGTTTTATCGATCGCGAGAGAGGCGAGAGAGGTACGCAAGCGCGTGGGACAGACACGTTCCCGACCTCGGTCGGGAATCGAATGATTATGTTATTCGTACGCGACATGGGGAGTATGCAATGCACAATTATGCGCCGGCAAACGCGGTGTTACGCAGCTGTGTAGTCGACGGCGAAAATGCCTGCGAAAATCTCGCGACAGTCTGAGGCGAGACGCGGAATTAGCGCGGCCGCCTCCTTCGTCGATCTCAGCGAAGTCGATCTTCCTTTCGAGCGCGGTTGCGATCTTTCATGTCTCGCCTGTACTTCCTCGAAATCAGCGCCGCTGATCGATGCTTTTGCTCCACGTGTTGCAGGTGATCACTAACGGTCTGAAGTGCGACTTAGGCGACTGCGACGGTGTGATAAACGGTGAGTCATTCGTTCTTCCTTTCTTTTTGTTCACCATCGCCTCGCCCGCTCTTCTCCGTCGCTCTCTCCTGCTCTCGTTTCTTCTTTTCTTCGCTAATTCCTCCGTAAAGAGAGACGCGATTGACGATGACAAGTGAATCACATTAGATTCAGCCGATGCACTCGGCGGTGGCTTAGCTTCATTGACGACGAAATCTTGGGGCCACGGGGAAGGGGCGCCGACGAGACCGCTCAGGATTGTACGAAAGCGCGGCGGCGCGGCGGGTTCTCGCTTCCGATCGGTATCTCTGAAATGGTGGATTCTTTTTTGTCGACGCATATTAGACGCGCCGTGAAGAGCAGCGAGCAGCGCAGATCGTAGCCCAGACCCGAGAAATTGCCCCGCGAGACGTTTCTACCGCTCATTAACGTGCTAATTGGATTCTGACGCCGGCGGCATTTCTAACGCTCACCGCGAATTTACAAGCTCGCTCTTTTTACAACTCCTCTAATTTATAACCGGCCGGTTTCCCGGCTCGCTCGTAAATCGAACGAGCGCACGCTTATCGCGTCCTTTATTGACTCCGACGCGCGGCCGAACCTGATTCCTCGCTGCGTCCGTGGTATTCAGAAAATCACAGCGCAGTCGCTCGATCCTCTATTATCCCGATGCCGGGTGTTCGTCGATTGGAACAATTTTAGCCGGCTAAACTGATCGAAATTAACACGAAGCAAATTACGTTTACACATACCAATCGTGGATCGTTCCAACTGATTACCTTGATTTAATTCGTTAGCCACTGATTACTCATTAATTTCGTCAATCGACTGAATTGCTCATGACGACTGGCCAATTTTGATGTATCAGTTTGTCGATTATTTTGGCCAATTGAAATTTTTACCTAACCAATCCCCGACATCGTCCTCCACTCTGCGGATGATGCATCTGCTTCGAGGAAGATTTTTACTTTATTATTTTTATTATTTTATTATACACGTACAAATTTGCGTACGACGTTTCTACATTAAATATTTAATAAACATTAAATATCTACATGTTTTGTAATATTTTTTTTTAATATTATAAATATATATTTCTTTCCTTTTCTTTCTTGCGCCTAATGCTTCGCGGCCGGTTCTCCACTGACCGTAATCTTAATTCTCTTCTGTTCTTTTCCTCTGGCATGCGTTATCTTCGGGACACCCTCGGGCAGCCGGGGAATCGCGTCCTCGTCGCGCGACGGCCCTGACTTTGCCCTTCGGTCACTATCATCCCAGCGTGCGCTAGTAACGACGATCCACAAGCCGCATTTTCTCACGCTACTTCAGCTGCTCCTTGCTCGCCGGTGCAATGATCTCCCTTTCGTAGCCGCACATCTGCCTGAAAATTACGTTCCGGCTGGGCTTACGCGCGCGTTCCGTTCTCTCCCCTCTCCGCGTCTCGCCTCGTCCCTACGCTCCTCTGACTCGTTAATTTGAGGTTCGCCGCGTCATCCGCGGTGGATCTTTCCGAATGAAACGCTCCCTCCCACTTTGCCCCTCGTCCCTCGTCGGAAGATTAAATTCCCGATGCACCTCGCGGCGAACGTCTCACGGATGTGACCCGCAGGAGAGAAATTAGGAAGAGGAGACTCCTCTGCGGTCTCGCTCGTAATAGGAATGTGGTACTTTGCATTTCGTCCGTGCATGCGTGTCGGCAGTTTCAAACCTCTTCAGGAACGAGCCGATCAAAGCCAGAAGCGACCGGTTTAATCTCACAGAGACACGCAGACACATGACACTCGTCGATCATACGAGATTTCTCTTTCACTCGGACGGGATTTTCCGCGAGGAATATTCCTTCGCGACGGCACGCGTCGCACAGTTCTCGCACCGGTGAGGCTTTTATACAGTAACGCACGTTATATCCTCGCCGGCAGTAGCCGAGTTGAAAAGAAAAAAAGATATCGACCGCGTCGCCAAACGCACTCGTAGCTGTCAGCGTCGCTGAAGAGGTTGCGAAGTACCTCCGGTCGGATCGTTCGCTCGACGAGCGCTTTTCCGATCGCAGCGCAGAGAGTTTCACCTGCTCGTAGAGCAACCTGCTTTGGTCGGACTCGCGAACAAATCGCGAGCTGCGGCTGATCAAGTTAGGTAAGTTCGGTGAAAGCAGGAAGGAGGAAGAGGAGGCCCCGGGACGCAGGATATCGCGCCCGCGTTCGCGTTCGGGAATCACCAGAGCGTCGTGTCATTTTTCATTTCGTCCGCGCGTAATACACGAGGAGGAGACGAACGAGAACCTCCCCGGCGGGATTCAAGGATAGCTGTTTGTAATTGTATCGAGATACGGCGGGAGATACACAACCGGCGCTGTCGTAATTGAATTTTAATTGTTAACGAGTAATTAGCGATTACGCTGGAGGCGCGCGCGATCGCAGTCTTGATTCTCCTTATAACTCGGACGAGCGCGCGCGATTTTCCCTCGACGGCTGCTCGCTCTCGAACAATCACAGACCAGTCACAGACACATAGTGCCGTGCCATAATTGTGTTAATTACGGCCCGCCAATTACACGTTGCGTACGCCTGGCCACGTATGCGCGCGTATCGGCGGTCGTCTGGCCGATGTCGCGCTTCTCGACGAGGTCGAAAGCGAGGTTGAGGCGAAGAAGAGTCACTCAAGCCGCTCAACGAGAACGAGGAAAGTACGGCCGGTGTTAATTTCGCGCGCGTTCGAGTGTCTCGAGCGAGTCTGCGATCGATTTCGAGAGCACTTTCGATTCTCGGATCTGCGATCTCGACTCGCGATCCCGATCGCGTCGTTATTATTTCAGCGAGCGAGCGACCGCTCGCGTCCTTACGTACCTATTTCCATCGCCGTATTTTCTTTGCCGGTTTCTTCCTCCTTTCGGCCGTTCTCTCTTTTCCTTCTCCGCCTCCTCGCCTCGCGTCGTCCCGCCGCGTCGTACAGCCGTAAAATACGACGCTCGCGAGTTAACGGCGTCGCGTCTCGCCTGGCCGGACATCCGCGCGAAATTCACTTTCCGCTCGTAAAATCCGACGATCCGCGTCCGATCGTCCCTCACCCTTGCCGGGTCTATCCCCCCTCGGTGATAAGGACCTCGCCGCCCACGAGCCGCGGGATGTTTGCCCAACGCGCGCGCGTCGGTTCGCAAGTTTCTTTTTTTTGCAAACACTCGGTCACTCGGCGCAACGGCGAGGATCGTATTCGCGAACGGATCCGATAGCTCGGACAATCGTCGCGTGTAGTGTAACATTTCGGTTTCTTCCTCACGACGACGGCAAGCAGCGCTCGATTTCCATGAAATCGCGCACGCGGTGCACGCGAACGAAACGCATCAGCATACTTTCGCGACCCCGTTCCGCGTCGCGTCGCGTCGGACGCTTCATCGAATTCGGAGAGCGCACTTTTTTCCGTAATATCATCGAGTCGCTGCGATGTAATTATCGCGATGAAAGTTATTACCGTCATAGCCGGTGAAATTTCTGCAACAAAATTGCCGCGCGGGGTCAGCGCGCGACGTGTACGGCGATAATGATCGCGATAATAAATTTATACCGCCGTACACACACAATGGTGTTGTGCAAGGTGTAACCTGCAGCATACAGGTCAGTATGACGGGTTGCTTGCCCCTATTCGGATGATAATGCAGAGGTTACCGAAAAAATCACTCGTTAACTTGATTGATAATGATATTTGCAGTGTTGCCAGTTATGACAAGTGCAACTAACTTTTTGCGTGATCGTGATCGTTGTGACAGTTTATCGACCGTTTACCGACGGGAGTCGAGCCTCATTGAAAGGACGTTTAAAAAATGAAACTGAGAAATAAATATTACGGCATAAAGCGGAATAAACATGAGTAATACTTAAAGAGATAAATAATACAAGATATTTCCTGGTTTCGCATAATTTCTTAATTGTTTTCTCACGTTCACGGAAAGTTCGATAGAAATTGAAGATTGGAAAGAACAATAATTTTTAACAAAAATATTTAAAGGTCTTACATACTGTATTTCATTCATGTTTCTACAAAAGATCGCTTCTGCAAAAGTATGAATGGACTGGAAACGCAGTATAAATATTGGTTGCAATTTAATCGACCGCAACTATCAAGCGACATATTTTCGGTACGTTGTAGTCTTGTATCTTGGCATCGAAAATGGAGTCTTTTATAGTCTATAGGGCCATTATAGTCTTATTATCGTTATTATCTTTTATCGAAAAGGGCCTGTTTTTCGAAATTTTTTGCAGCTTCATAGTTGCGGTCGGTTAAGTTGCAACCAATATTGCGTTTGTAGTCTATTCATACTTTTGCAGTAGCGATTTTTTGCAGAAATATAGATGAGATACAGTATACAAGACTTTTAAATATTTCTGTATCGTTCATCCTAATCTCCAATTTCTATCGAACTTTTTCCAACGTGAGAAAACAATTAAGAAATTATGCGAAACCAGGAAATATGTTGTATTATTTATCTCTTTAAATATCACTCTTATTCATTCTGCTTTATTCCGTAATATTTATTTCTCAGTTTCATTTTTTAAACATCTTTTCTAATTCAATGAGGCTCGACTCCTGTCGGTAAAATGGTCGACAAACTGTCATGACGAACACGGTGCAAAGTTAGTTGGATTTGTCATAACTGGGAACAAATATCATCAACAAAGTCAACGAGTGACTTTTTTCGGAAACCTCTGCATCATCATCCGAATAGGGGCGAGCAACCCGTCATACTGACCTGTATGCTGTATTGCTGTTACACCCGTAATTGCCGTGTAAAATAAATCACGAGATTACACGTGGCACGAATGATAGATAATAAAATAAGATGATAAGCTGGACAGAAGAGGAGTTTCCTGCGACAGCCGAGCGTGTCGCGGAAAGCATCCGGTCACTTTCACAATTATCGCCCGGGATCTCCCGTCGCGTGCGAAGGATCGCGAAGAAGCCACGGAATCAGGATCAATTAATCGCCTGGCACAGTAAGGCGGCTGTTTGCGGCGTTTATTAGCTGTGAATTATTCACCGTCTTTGATCGAGGCTGCGATTAATCGCAGATTCGTATTCATGAGCTGTTAGCCGGCTGGTTGGGTCGATAGTCCTCGTGTGAAGTAAATGCAGTCTGGCGAGTAGCGAAGGATTTACGAAGCTGCACACACGTGCTAAAATAACGGAGAACCAGGGGGGCCTGAGTGGCTGCTCCTGCAACTTTCAATTCTGAAACTTCAGCGCTTCGCGTCGATCGACACCTTGTGCGCCGATCGATTGCCGATATAAATTCGGCGAGTAATCGACGACGAAGGACAATGTGTGTTGACAGCATGGCGTCGGTAGCTCGTTGCCGAAAGCACACAAAGCGACGCTATCACAAGGAGAGAAAGCGCGCGAAGCGCGACAGGACCTTCGACAGGAGGGATCGCGGCGCGTTTTCGCGCGCAGGAACGGCAGCTTCGTCGAGAAAGACGAGGACGTTTCCCGCTGAGAACTCGAGTATCGATTTCCTACAATTATTTCCCCCCCCGCCCCTTCCTCTCGCGTGCTTATTTCAAGCGTCGTTATTGTGCTTATCAACATTGCAGATCACTCGCTCGCGTCACGTCAATTGCACCAAAGCGATCTACCTTTCGCCCGGCTGCTCGCCGTTTCCGTCCGCCGACGATAACGCGGCTTAAGTCTACCTGAGGAGGATTGAAGCGTGTCCCGACCTCGTTCGATCGCGGCGGAAATGCATCGTTTATTTCACCTTGAGCGGAAAGGCGAGCGTTTCGCGAGAGCCGCGACCTCCGATCCGATTAGCGCAGCACGTGAAGCCCTACGCAAAACTATATAGAACTTCTCGCTTTGATATGCCTCGCGGTGAGGAAACGCCTCAGTCGCGATTCGCGAGCGAGCGGGATGTGCGAGCGGGCCTCGGTCAGGGCGAGAATAGCCTTGTTGGAGGGTGAATACTTGTCGCTTGTCGCCGGGAGATGCGCTTTTCTCTGCTAGTCCTCGTGATTAGCGTAGCCGCTTATTGCCTTGCGAGGCCGATTAATTGACAGCGGAAGGAATGATCTCTGTAGAACTCTGTGTCCTCTTCAGGGCGGGGTGGTAGGCGGTAAAGGGTGCTTTCCTTCCTCTTTCCTCTTTCTCATTGACGTGGCTCGCAAGCTCGATGAATCGATGATCAAGGAAATGACCGTTTGGTAAAACTGCACCTTCTCTCTTTCTCTTGCAGGGAAAAAGATGGCACCGGTCTTGGGCGTACCGCCTCCGCCACCACCGGCTCCCCACATGGGACCAGACGGCTTGATCTTGCCGAAGAAACCGTATAACCCTTGCCTTACCTCTACTAATCATAAGGATCTACACAGAGAGCTGCTCTTCAATCAGAAAATGTAAGTCACGGCGCCGCCCCTCGGCGACGTCGCCGATGTATTATTCCCCCTGATACGCCTTCGTCGCGATCCCTTCAATTTCCCGACGTCTTCGCTTCGACGAGGAGAATCTCTCGCTTGAGTGTCCTCGCTTCTCTTGTCCCGTCCAAGAGAGATTTCAAAGGAAGCAAGAAGCCTCCTTCCCTCTTCTGCCCCGCTCTAAAGTAAAGTAAATATTTTATCGTTCCGCTGGACGGAGAAAAAGTCTCTCGTCCGAGATTAAATTATGGGATTAATTAATATCGCGAGCGGGCAGATAATATACGATGAAAATGGAAAGCTACTGCCATGCTACCCGCGTGGAAAACTTCCTGATGAAAGCCGACCGACGCCTGTAGCCGGCGGTGCGCGCGCGCGCGCGGGGGGGGAGGCCGGCATTATCGCGCACGTGAAAAAGCGTCGCGAGAAAAAGCTGGGGAAAAAAAGAAACGTCTGGCATCGTTCGGGGCAGAAAAAACAGCAGCGCGCGGTTTTCATCGTTGCAGCTGGAATCACGATACGACGCGACGGCGCCGCGTACTACTCGAGACACCTGCGATTCTTCACGCTTCGATGGAATTAAACGGTTCACGCTTGCCGACTTTTACCTTGGCACACACGCAATATCCCATTCACACGTGGCGCGTTTCCACGTGCGAACGAAGCGAGGCAAAGCGTAATCTCGCGGTGTGTCGACTCGGCTTGTATCGAATTCTAATTCGCGCGCGCGACCGATACACACACACACACACACACACACATGTGCGCACGCTTGCTCCGTTCACGGTTTCGCAGACGTTTCTCTTCACTTTGAAATCTCTCGGTCACGACGGTTCAACGTCAATTTCTTGGAGACTAGTCAAAGAACGTCTTGTCTTTTCGTAGCGGCAGAAACGTCTTGAACCAGAAGAGCGAGCTGCAACGCGCCTTGGAGAAGCAGAGGGAAGCGGTGTCGAGGAGGGAGGCCGAGAGGAGCCGAGAGGAAAACTACAAGGACGATCCTAGGACAGCCTTGCAAAGGGCGATCGAGCAGCGAGCGAGACACATTCAAATAACGGTACAGAAGCAGTCGTAACGTGCAATTTCGAGCTTCGCGCTCCGTTATGTCACGCTCGCCTTGTCTTCCGCATGCTCTCTCGACATGTGAATAATAGAGATTCGCAATGGTGCGTTGATGAGTGCAATTGTTCGTTCGCAGCAAGAGCAATTGCAGACGAAGACGGAGCCGCCGAGCAACCTTCTGATAACAGCGAGAGCGAAGCTGAGACCTCGCACCGAGTCCCAGTGAAGCCAACCGGCTGGAGAAAGACATCGAGATCGGCGATTGTAAGACCGCTCTCGAGCTGATCGTGAATTCCATTCTCGGCGCCTTATCGCTCGCAAGCGCGTGTACATATGCATAATCTAACCCGATAAGATTCTGATTAACAACGTTCTGCGTAACGTTCGCGCGAGACACTGCTCCTCGATCTCTCTCTCTCTCTCTCTCTCTCTCTCTCTCTCTCTTTGCTTCGTACGTCGGCGGGACCTCGTGGCTCCTTCACGAGAATAAACTCGCGATTATTCTCAGCAAAGCCGGACGGTTCGAAGTATGCTTCGCGTTTGAAGCGCGTGCTAAACTGCTGCGGATCGACGGATTACGGATTGAAGGTTGGAACTTGATCGACTGAGGCAGAGCGAGTCAAGATCGACAAAGGTGGCTGATTCGTCAAATTTTCATCTCTAATCCCTAATCTACTCTAATCTCTAATCCGCAACGCTCAGTCCTCAATGCCTGGATGTCGGATACGAGCTTGAGATCCGTGTCAGACTAGGTATTAGAGAGATTTGAGGGTAGATTGGGACTTAATCGGCCGAGATGAAGTGAGCCACGATCGGGATTAGTTGATTCGTCGGATTGTAATCTGTAATGCGCGATCGTCAATTTCCAATGTCTAATCCAACATGAGCTTTAAAGAATCGATGAAATCATCTCATGTCACACACAGAGGGGAGAGCTCAGCACACCGCAACATCCGCTCGCGATTGTATGTCCGCGCGCTTCTGGATAAGCTCGTACGTACCTAAGCGAATTCGCGACGAATGGTCGAATAGCTTTCTCTTCCTTTCCCTTTTGGGAGATACACGTCTGGTGTCTTTCATCATCTTCAAACCGGGATCCGAGCGTGCAGGCAATGTGTATCTTCTCACACCTTCAGCTTCACTCGAGCGATCGACGCGTTCCGCTAAATGATGCAGAAAAGTCCCACGACGGTACGTGCGATACTTGTGGTTAATCTTCAAATCGAAACACGTAAAAAATACTTGATCGACACTGTGTGATTCGTGAGATCCTTGTAAGTACGTCTATTATTTTTTAAAATATACAACATAAAACGGTCATTTCATCATAGCGAATTCACATACATCTACACGAGACAAGGCTATTGTCGCATGCATATTTCGAAATTCTCGTACGTACACTGGGACGTGTGACATACAATATTCTTATTTGTTATATTTATTTGGTATTATTACTTATGATATAATTCGTCATTTGTTACCTATGTGATTACATACAGGGTGTCTGAACAAACATTCGGCCGCTCATGTACAGGTGGAGCTGGTTCGTGAAGTTGAACAAAATTCTCATGATTTCGTAAAATATCACGTAAAGTATCGAGATATTAATGAGATAAAATTGATTGCTCGAGACGTGTGTGGCGGTACGCTGGAACGAGTTCTGTACTGTTTAGTGTTTTCCGTCACTTTCCTCCTTTTAGATTCGGACAGTTTCGAGTCGTTCTTCCTGAAGAGGCGAACTGGAATGTTCACGAAACGAAGCGACTACGGACATAACGGACAAAAGCCAGATCGAGCGTTTCACGTGATCGTTTGCAATATGATGGCGAGATCTTATTCCTCAGTTGAACGTGTTCGACACGCGCATGAGCGTCGCCATGGTTTGCGTCAGACACCCCGTATATTATCAAGGGCACGTTTCTAAGTAGCCTCTACTGTAACAAAGTCGGCAGCAATTGTTTAAACAAGTTATGAACAAGAGAAGTTTCAGCTTGGCTTGAACCGTGTGCAAAGGTGTACGAGGTCATTGTTGCGCGCATTTATTAAGATATATTATTCGATCCGTATCGGTCCACAAAGCTAAATTAACAGGTAACATTTTACTTTTTAATATGACGACTTATTATATACTTCGTCACACTTTGCAAATATTATTATTATATTTGCGTGAATATATACATAGATTGTGTACGTTTAGATTTGGTGAAATATGTAATGTACAGAGAAAAATATCGTTAAAGAAGAAATGTGTATCTTTAACACAGAATATTTTTTTAACAATAGCATTGAAATGTACTCGTCACAAATTAGGAAAAAATTATCATCATGCACCCGACGAAAGAAGCATTTTATATTCTATTTAAGAATATTGCAAAATTTATACTTGTGTGTGACATACGGGGTGTCTTTGAGCCGCATGTCACACGAACGTGTGCTTGTTGAATACATCAAACCGAGCAGTAAGATTGCTATTATTTTTCAAGTCACGTAACATTTTCAGTTACTGAAGCGCAGTTATTCGCGCGCGCCGCTTCGTCAATCCTCTCCCGTCAATAATTAAAAATTTTTCGTGGTCTGCAAAATAATAGCGATCTTTGAACTTTGAACAAAGTAGATTTGTAAAAGCAAGCATGTTGTGTGTGTAAATAAAAAGGTTTATTACTATTATGTAAACTGATATATGTAAGTTATAAATATAATAAATTCCCAAATGAAACACGAAATATAAGCAACTTTAGACGCTACGTGTTTGTATCTATAGTTATCACCTAATCATAGCTAAACTAACAAGAAATATTTTTCAATGATCTTTCTAAGTAAAAATAATTTCCATAATTTCTGAAATTTATAATTTTCTACAATAAGATACACTGTAGTTATTACTCTCCCTCTATAATTAATACAAAAAGAGACACCGGTGAATGGATACAGAATAAAACGCGCAAATATAATCTGAATTGAAGGAGAAATATCTCAAATAATGATTTGTATATTGCATCTATAACACTGACAATTAAATAGTCAAAACATGACTTGCTTGAGCATCCAAGATAAATCATAAAATAATCCATCTCCGTTACCGCTCTAGCGATGAAATATGATTCAAAGTCACAAGAGAGATTTTTTTCTTCCCTATATGACGAAAAATAGAAATGACAACAAAAAAGAAAAAAACTTTAAGATGTACCACGCATCGAAAGAAAGAAAAAAACAACTAGTTTCACAAAGGAAACGGTAGTCATCGTATTTCGACAAAATGTCTCGTCTCGATAATTGCTCGTCACAAGTCTTTGCAAGTCTATTTGGTAAGGTATGCTTCTGGGCAGAAAGCTGAAAGCTTACATCACAATAGACCGATGATTATTTCTGCCCATTTGTACTATTCAATCTGACGCGGGCTGTTGTGAATAATATATCGCATCAATGTTTAATATTGTCTCACGGTTAATCATATTACTTTCGTACTCTTAAATATAAAATAATGCAAGCTGTTCGATTTGTCATACCTTTAATTTCCAACCAATTCACGAGAGTCTTATTAGAACATTCGAATCGCGCCGCAACACGTAAGGAGACACCCGCAATCGCACGCAAATACACCAAATACAGCAGAGAAGCTACACAGAATGGGAGATTTTTTCCGCTTTTCTTTTTTTCTGTACAGTTCGTTGCGTGTTAGTTTTTTTTTCACTCGTTTTAACATGGATTTAAAAGCACGATCACTCGGATTAGCCCAAGATCGTCGCGAATTGATTATACAACCTGAATTCTAAATATATTTTATTCAACAGCGATTTTTACGTGTTATTCCCCGTTATTTCCGTTAGAACCTGTAAGAAACTCCTCACGAAACGCATGAAAAAAGGCTATGGCGAACGCAACGATAAATATAAACTGCCGAGACTTTCTTTTCTCTTAAATTACGTGTTCGTACAAATGTGAACAGAGAATGTGAAATGCACAGAACATAGTTTCTTTCTTCGTAGATCCTGCGTCGCACAGTGATATTTGTTAACTAATAAAAATATCAGAACTCCAATATCAGATTGGTCGAGGTAGACTTCGCTTCTTACAGTCAGCCTATTTTCATGAGCTAATACCGAATTCCACGTTCTTGGATCAATACGGAATGCATGACAGCTCGGTCTTGAATTCCAAATAGTGTACAGAATTCGACTACGTCTCTCTACAGCTCACGTGATATTGTGTCGAGAAAGCGAAATCATACAGTGTGTTTAAGACACATATAGACATCGCTGAAGTATGGCGAATTATTCTCTTTTTCTCTCTGCACACACGCATACACACACACACACACACACACAGTCATTACGCGTTGCGGGCAACCGTGCGCTCATCGATTAGACAACGATCGTGAACGAACGGATAACGATAATGTTAACTTCGACAATGATGTTACCATCGAGAACGGGCTGAAAAATATATCCTTCACATTCCGATAATAATGCAAAACGATCATTTAGTAATCGTCTCCACGGGAGATAACTTCTTTACACGTGGGACGTAAGACGAGGGTATGCTCGAACTGAGCGGTATAGCAGCCCTTAATGTCCACCAGGGGTGGATAAGCTTCTACAGCGCCTTTCTCGCAAAGATCTTTCAACGCCATCTGATACTTGGTGCAACCGACACGGTCCAGCCAACGTTTACAGAAAGCCAAGGTACCTGAAATCATGAATGCACATTGTTCAAATACATGTCGAATTTTAGGTTTCTTTCACGATTAGTAAAACGCTTGGTGAAAACGCGTGAAACACCGGCGGAGTTTTTGGAGCACTCACCAAAATGTTTGTTGATGGTATTGAGGAGAGACTTGCTGCTCTGCAATCTCAATGGCACGAAACCGGCGTCGAAACTCTTCATGTAATGCGAGCATTCCATATCATCGTGTACCACTCCTTTACCAGTAGACCCGAAGGTTTCAATCGCGTAGAACTCGTTCTCCTCCATTCTGGTCGCTTCGCCGCCTCTAACGATTGGCACCGTTTTCCCAGCGTGTATGCGATATGGAGCGATAGAATGGCCGTTCAAGTTTCTAATAGATTTTATCTGCGAAAAAGGATTTCTAGAATCTTAAAGCGACCTATATATCTTTTATAGATATAAGACTAATAATGAAACTAATAATGAGACCAATCAATGATACAAACGACCTACATAAAGAAGCTCATTAGTCTAAGAAGAATCTTTTTGACGTTTCGTACAAAGTAATCAATAAAATTAAATTGTTATTCATCACATTCTATTAAGTTTTTAGTTCCATACCTTGTACGTCCTGCCATCCAGCTCCACCTCGTAAGATTCCATGACCTCTTGGATCGCTGCACCGACGTCACATAGCTGCACATCGACTCCGGCAGCCTTGATGCCAGTGTTCGTGGCGTCGCGCACCGCCTCGATCAACTTGTCGTACTTCGGATTGAACGTCAATGTGAACGCACAGTCGATGATGCGACCGTTGATGTGTGTGCCAAAGTCGATCTTTGTCACATCATCATATTGCAAGACAGTTGGGTCGCCAGCGTTTGGAGTGTAGTGAGCCGCGCAATGATTTCGAGAGCAGCCGGTCGGAAACGCTAATCCAGCTTTCAGACCATCTTCTCCAATCAATTTCCTGGCAGTCTCTTCAAGCTCGTTGCATATCTCTATCATAGTCATTCCCGACTTCACCTGCAAATTATTTTCGGGATAATATTAGCTTTCAGAATGAAAAGTTAATATATATATTTAAGAATGTTTTATATCATCTTATTATTCGCAATCCCCAGCTCTTATATAAACTTGAAGACCGCTTGTGTTTGCCATGACAGAGATGTGTTATGTACCCATTTCATGATATGCTTTCTGGTTTGTCTGTGTGCCTCAGCCGCTTGTCTGGCTTCATTGTAGATATCATTATGCATTTTGTCGAGAGCTCGAGCCTCTTCGCTCGTAAAACGATTCTTAGCTGTTCTGTCATCTACTCTAGTAGTCGGGTAGTCCATTAATTGTCCTACAGGGAAGTTACCATCTGGAAATAATTCTGACACAGGAACGGTTGGTGGATCAGTTTGCTGCTTCATGCCACCTTTGCCTCTGGGCTTGCGCTTCTTCTTCTTCTTTTTAACCTCTTCAATTTCGCAATTCCCGTTCACCTCTGTAGCAGTTTATGATAAGAGAACTGAATAATTTAAATATATCATATTTATTATTATATTTATATTTATTATATTTAAATATATTATATATAGATATTAATTTACTGAATGTTTATCTCACAATTTTAATTAAATACACAATTGTTGTTACTGGAAGAAAAACTTATAAATCTCAATAGTGAAACGTTGACTTCAATATATTAACAAAGATAGAAGAGACTTGTCAACAATACCTTCGGCAACTGCTTCATCATCTTTGACCTTGTCTTCTTCTCCCTCTGGTACATCCGCACTGGCTTCCCCAGCACCTGTACACAAATATCCAATACTTTATATACAAATAATAACAAATTTATTTACTCGTGTTACATCATTCTCTTGTATCATATAGTTTTATGTGGGAATAACTTGAAAGATATTGGCTTAGTACACAGGTACAAATTCTATGATTCAAATATGAAAAATTTTTCCCCTCACATGCACAAATTATATATAAATTACTGTTTACTTAATATTTCTTCAGGACACAATGTAACATATCACCTCATCTGACATTCAGTTATAAAAATTTGTTTTCTTTTAGATTAGACAGAATACTTCGATAAAAGACGGTAGATTTTCCCGGCTACATCATATTCTTAAATATAATTTGAAAAATATGACATCATGCGATCGTGTTATTGCCGAGTGATCAAGGATGGAAATCTGAAGACATGATGTCACCTTTAATTGAAACATACCGGCCTTCTTCTTCTTCTTCTTCTTTTTTTTCTTCTTCGAGGCCTCTGCTGCCCCGGTCTCGTCTTCTTCGTCAACGAGCTCGACTTTCTCCTCGTCTACAAGTTTTTCTGCGGATTTGCCGACTTCGTCCAACACGGCCGCCATTTTCAAGAGATGAGTCGAAGGTTTGTTCGGTTTAATTGCAATAGAGCATGGAACGGTGTACAAGATAGCGCCACCCTGAATTTTTCCCTCCACCGGAAGTGCCTTAAAATAATTACCTTCTAGTTTACAGCAATAATTCTGTTTTCGGATATTTTCAGTGAAGGCAAAAATTCAAGGGTGAAATTATTTTATATAATTCGACGAATACTATCAGATTCAATCCTAAAAGTTTACAAAAACCCTTAATTTAGTCTCAGCTGAATTTTATTGAAGCCGGTAAATTATGGTTCGAGTCTCGGCTAAAAAGCTAATTTTAGTCAAGACTCAAATCAGAGAGAAATCTGAAAGCGGCCAATACGGTATTTTCTGCGACTCATATGCACGGTTGTACTGAGGGCGCCTCACACTGGGCTCGGCTAGGGACCCTACAATAGAGAGTCTGGACATCAGAGCTTCGGCGTAATTGGTTCACGGACTGGTGGCCTGAAAATGGCGGCATTAATAGAAAACCTTGCTTACTTAGCTTAGCGCGAACGGGTAAATAAATTTGGATGCCAAGTAATGTGTCTTCTGGATAGCGTCATATATTATTTTATTTAGTATCAACACATGAAAAGTAAAGAATTTCATAAACGAATATTTCGAAATTCAATATTTATAAAAAAAAAATGTAATATATTTCATGAATTTATACAGAGAAACATATATGGGTCCATAATCTAAACTTAATTTTATTGATAAAAGTACCTGTAAAAGTAGCTTATAAAGTTTCTAATTGGTTATAACTAATTTTTAGAGACACTTTGATAAAAGAAAAGTTAAAGTATGGACGTTAAAATCAATATTTCTATTAATATTAGGAGTACAAATAAGTTTCCGCCGTTTTTTCTATCAAAAATTAGGAATTTATTATGAAAGAACGATACATTACGTTTTATTCAAAGTATTGTCCATCACTAGTCATTACTTTTTCCCATCTTTCTGGCAGCATTCGGATACCACGTCGGAAGAATTCTTCATCTTTTGAGGCTATCCATGAATCGACCCAATTTTTAGTATCTTCATATGATGTAAAGCACTGCTTAGACAGGCCATGTGCCATCGACCGGAACAAGTGATAATCGGAAGGGGCAATGTCTGGTGAATACAGCGGGTGGGGTAGGACTTCCCAATTAAGTGTTTCCAAATAGGTTTTGACCAGTTTTGCAACATGTGGCCTAGCGTTGTCATGTGGGAGAATAATTTTGTCGTGTCTGGAGTAGTAATGGGCGCGTTTTTCTTTGAATGCTCGGCTCAATCTCATTAATTGTGTTCGGTAGAGAGCTCCAGTAATGGTTTCGCTCGGTTTGAGCAACTCATAATACACGACCAACCAAACTGATCCCACCAAATACACAGCATGAGTTTTTTCGATGTTGAAGTATGGCCAGGTGGCCCCCATGATTTTCTCTTCTTTGGGTTATCGTAGTGGATCCATTTTTCATCACCAGTGACTATACGATGCAAAAAACCCTTCTTTTTATGCCTGGCAAGCATTATTTCACACGTGCAAAATCGGCGTTCAACGTCTCTCGACTTCAGTTCATATGGAATCCAATTTCCTTGTTTTTGAATAATTCCCAACGATTTTAAACGATGTGAAATTGCTTGTTGAGTCACTTCTAATGTAAGTGCAAGTTCTTCTTGCGTTTGGCACGAATCTTCCTCCAATAATGCTTCCAATTCTATGTCTTCGTACACTTTCGACCTTTCACTACGTTCTTTGTCTTCCACGTCAAACTCACCGTTTTTAAACTGTTTTACTAAGAATTTTACTAAGAATTTTACTATAAGAATATATTACTTAAATAGTAATATATTCTTGATAGTAAATAAAATAAAAGTCTAAAACAATTTTTTCTTTCTACGAATTATTAACGAATTATTAGATATAGTAAGTTAAATGTTGAAAAGAAAAACGGCATTTTCTATAAATATAATATTTCATTATTCTATTTTTTAGATTTATACACATATTACAATTTTTCACAATAAGTATTACTTATTAGTTTTCATTCGTGTAATATATAAAGTTAGAAAGGAAATATTAACAACGTTGTAATTCTATTAATAAGCACAAACAAATATTTTCCTCATTTTTAATGTTACATACCGTTATTTATCATTGATTAATATATAAATGACATAAATAAAACTTCTTTCTCGTAGCAGATAAATTGAACTGATGACGTTTTCTCCCACTTTTGGTCTAAGGCTGTTCTTTTCAACTGCTGAACTGATACTTTTTGCATCATTGTGCAGCTAAAAAGAACACGTTGAGTCGGCCATTTTCAGGTCGTGTCCAGACTCTCTATTATAGGGTCTCTAGGCTCGGCTAAAAGTGGCCCATGACACCTCTCCTTCTTCTCTCTGACGCTATTATGGTTGTAGCACAGACATAAACCGTCTGAAAGTGGATGTAGTACGGACTGCCACCATATGCAGGTTTTACCGCCGAGTCTTGAAAGTGATGTAACATCGTAGTTCACCTCTCAAAATGAATGCAGATGACGCTCTTCCCAGTGCGGAAAGTCGGTATCGCCGAAAACGCCGTGTTGGCCGCTCTCAGGTTCCTCTCTGCCGATACTCACCAATCACTCAAACCACAATTTAGTACCATTAGCATTTCTAATTATCACATTATTAATTCAGAAGGATATTACATTTCTAAGCGCAGTTTGTTTCTCTTTTAAAGTTAAAAGAATTAAAACTATATAGTAAAATTAAAATATATTATAGGATATCACTTATAAACATGTTTTTAGAAAAATATGACTACAGGATTATACTTCTTGATATAATTCACTCATAAATTTTATATACAAGTTTTACTTATTTCAAATCATGGTAGTAACTGTTGCTACATATTTTATTATACAAAAACAAGTGATGTTGAATAATATATTTTAATTATATCTCTATGATTGATACAACATTCTTATTCCATCACAGATATATTGTTTAAATACCTATAAAAACATTTGTAGCAAATTATATATGCATATATACACACACACACACACATACATATATTTGATCCTATGCATACATACATACATTCGTATAATGCGATAAATATATATTTACTCTAAGTTTTCTCCCATCAAACAAAATAATGTGGTTTCTTCACTATTATTCCATATTCAGCTACCGCTGGGGTCAAATCTTCCATAGTTAAAGTATACCGCCGATCCTTTCCCTTTGTCTTTGTATTTTGATTAGCACCTCGTGTCTTACAATGTTGCAGTGCATCATTAGCAATTTCAGAAATGAATTTTTGAGCTGCTAATGACACTAGACGTACTCTGAAGAACAAAACATGATCAAGAGATGATGATACATAGTTGTATTATTTAATAAGTATTAAATTTCCAATCACTAAGTTTAATAACAGTCTAAATGATGTTTTATACTCACATCCTGGGATCGGTGGCATTGAAGCCAGCAGTGTGCAAATAATGTTCGCTGACAGCATCAGGTACCTGTTATCAGTATTATATGAAGTATAAAATAAATTTGATATGATTAACATAAATAAAAATTTAATGGCATGCACAAAGTGTACCATTGAGATTGTATCACAACTTGTATGAATGATTTCATCGAAGGGAATTATTTAGCAAACACTTACTGTAGGTGTGTAATCCTCCAGTTGCAAAAGAAACTCCGACAAAGGCTGCCCTGCACTCTTCGTGTCCTCGTTCAAATTCTGTGAAGTTTGTCTCTCAGGATTCTCCGCCATTTTTGTATAACGCAAAAGCGTGAAGTGCTATATCAGCAGTCTTTCGAGTCGAAATCTATAACTAAATCTATAAGATCTTTTCCTTCTTCACTAAACGTACTACAAGCCTACAACTTACTTGATCACAAACAGACTGAACAGACGAAGCTTCTGGCTGTTCAATAAAATATGAATGCTCGAACCATGAATCTCTAGATGAACCGCTGAACAGAGCTTTTATGTATAAACGATTTTAGAACGTCTCTTATTTGTCAAACCGAATATCGTCAAATATTTTGATTGGCTGTCGAATAGAGAATTTCTAGGGTGCTGAAGCAAACGTTGATTATAGCAATTCTACATTATTATTATTCTTTATTATTCTTAGGGCCAGAGCACAGACTTCTGCATAACGCATAATACACGACGCATAAGAGAATCAACCAATCAGAGTTCTTCATTTCCCTCCTCAGAACAAAAATGAAGAACTATGATTGGTTGATTCTCGTATGCGTTGTGTATTATGCGTTATGCAGAAGCCTGTGCTTTGGCCCTATGGCCCAGTTCCACAACTTGCTTTAAACAGAGTTTAAAGCAAGTTGTGGAACTGGGCCTTAGAACCTAGATTTATTTCTGCAATAGGTTCCAAATGCATTGAAACATTTATATTCAACAGTATATAGTAATTTATTGATATGAAAAATTACAATTCCTAAATTTTATCTTATTAAATTTTCTTAATTTTTACTCTTTTTTTGTCGACTGTACACTTTATTCCATGATGGTTGAATTTTGTAATTTTTGACAGTTTGGAAAATGTTGGAAAGTATGCACCAGTGAATTCTTTGTATTAAAATTTATCAAAATATGATTTTCTTGTTATTCAACCAAATATCCTGTCAAGATATAACCACCGGTATCGCTCATCAATATATTTGGATGAGTCCTGTCGGGCAACACTTGATATGAACGTAAAAAGTTTGTGAATAGTCTTAAATTTATTACATTATACTTTTGCTTGAGTTCTATGTAAGTCTCTTGCAGTGGCTCACGATGCATATGGAAGATAACGAATGGTCGTGATATTCCTAAGAAGGGCAACAGGGCGGATACAATGTTTGCAGGATGCTCCTTGGCTATGACAGTCAAGCCAAGAGCCTTGGAAGCATTCAATAGATTCATTGCCCGTTGGGTCTCAAAGAACCACTTTGGCTTCTTGGCAGGCACCACATCCTCAAGTTCATCGATTTTCCGTTTTAAAGTATTGGTGCACTCCTCATTTGTGACTAATGCGACATCTGTTTTTGTTGTATCTTCTAATTCGGTATCTTTAGTGCTTAAATTTGATGCCAGATCAGTTTCTTTACTAGCTTCTTCAATCATCTCTTTTGAGTTCTCCTGCTTTTTTATTTGATTACCAACACTATTCTTAGAAGCAATAATATCTAATACACTTGACTCGCCCTGGTGGTATAATCTTAGCAAGCTATAAATGTTCACTGTGACATGCCTGTCCTTTAATTCTTGAGGAAAATTCATAGCTTGAACGATAGCAGTCTGAGGTGTATTGCCTGGATGTAGATTGATCAGGTGACCACTGGTATTGGCTCCTATTCTCTCTAACATAGCTGCAGCTGGTAGTCCTTGGGATCCACTATCGTACAACATATGCAATCCATCTGATTGCACATTACTGTAGGACAATATTTGCGCCAATGCATCCATTCGCAGTCCTCCGATCTTGTCTTGGCTCAACCTAAAGTATACCTCGTGCAACGACATCACAGTGGGTTTGCATACCGTCAGGAATTTGAAGTACTTGCGTTCTTTCTTCTTAATGTACTTCTCCTGAGAATATTCAGTCTTGGCAGCAAAGGATTTGCTGTTTTCTATGAGACTGCCGATGATCTCTTTGCCGGTCTTGCCAGTTTCTTGCAACTGCACGATTTCCTCCTTCGACAACTTCTGCGATGTGCCATCGTCCGTAATGGAACGATTATCCTGACCACTTAGGTCGCCCTTCAGATCGTCCCAAGACTCCGTCTGCTCAGTCAGCTTCAAGGTAAAAGTTCTATTGCCGTTTTGCGACGGCACCATCTCGAAGGTGCTCCAGAACGGTTTGCCGATGATTTCACGCATCTCCACCTGGTCTTTCCCTAGCATCAGAGTACTGTTCCGAGTACCGTACTGAGTAGCATTCTCTGATACCTTGTACACCTTACTGTAATTCTGCTTCTTGATTATCACATATGTGCCAATCGTGATCAGATCGTCTTTGTTTTCGCACGTGTTTTCCGCGGCTTCGCTCATCGTGTCATCGAGTGCTGCTTACTTTATGGAAAAAAGCAGACGACTTTTAGGTTAGGCTGATCTTGAATTTTAAGGTTAGGCTGGTTTCAATTTTAAGGTTAAGACATTAAACTATGGTCCTGTCGTTGTTGCAGATGGCTTATAGGTTGATGATCCCGAACGATCCAGGACATTAATTTCTAGAGTAAACAGGAAACTTATTGTTGCAACTTACTATAACAGTTATTTGAAAATAAAATTGATTTTTGGCTGCTGATTCGCAAGAAAGCTAGCTCAAAACCTCTAAAGCCCAGTTGCACCAACATTATTTTGGTTTTAAGTGAAACTTAAATATATCTGTCTTTATTTATTTAGTAAGAAAGATAAAGATGAACTTATGTTTAATAGTCTGTTCTTTTTAGCTGCACTGCTGAACTAGTGCAATAAGTTAGAATGAGAAAAAATATAGTTGTCTCATTTTAACTTATCGCACTAGTTCAGCAGTGCAGCTATAAAGAACAGACTCATAGTTGTCTCATTTTAACTTATTGCACTGGTTCCGCAGTGCAGCTGAAAAGAACAGATCATAAGTCTCACTTAAAACCAAAATAATGTTGGTGCAACTGGGCCTAAATCTCTGAAAATAAAATGGTCTGAACGTCGTAATTTGAAAAAGCGCAGCTACGGCTGCGTTCAGCGGAACAAAGTGATCAGTGAGCGCTTAGTGATTATTGTCTGTGACTGGAACATTCTTTTAGATTCTTCATAGACCCAGAAGTATTTACCAATCAGGAGTGAGAATCACTAAGGCTGGTATTCATAGTCAGGTCTTATATTTAAGACCGTCTTAAGTTCACTTTCAGATACTCTACAGCCAATGAAATGCTTTGTACAGAGTTTGAAGATAAACTTAAGACGGTCTTAAATATAAAATCCGACTATGAATACCGGCCTAAGTGCTCACTGATCATTTTGTTCTTCTGAACGCAGCCAATGGGTACGTTCATGACACTCAATGGTTGAACAACTGTTGAATAATTCGTCAACGTTATTGGTCTGAACGTAAAGCCAGCGGCACACGATGCTTGTTTTCGTGCTGGATTGCTTGCTGGATGAAAATACTGCGTTCTGATTAGTGCATTTCCATCCATCTTCGGAAACGCTGGCTTTAGATGGACAAATATAACGGGTCTAAGAATGTAGACCCTTATCATCACCAATATCCATCCATAAATCACCAAGCAATAATGAAAACTGTTGGTCTTACGGGATTTAGAACGCCAGAGAAATCTCGCTGAGCGCTAACACTCTCTTAAATATATGATTAACAATACAAATCAATATTTAAAATATTTTTGTACACTTATATCTTGCGATGAAAAAAATATCTTGACAAATACAGTGGTTCCGATCATTATCCTAAAGTGTAGTTCCAGAGTCTCCGCTACGAGCCGCCACTGTCTTTAACGAACAATTCGTAGTACGACTCAACGATAAGTCAGAGTAACGTTCGTTTCGAGCGATACGAATTAAGGGTGAGTTGTAAAATCTTTTTATCACCGAATATTACATCTCAATGCTAAGTAGATTAATTATTTTAATTTCAAATAATGATGCTTTTGAATGATAAGTGAAAGATAGCTTTTTTCCAAGGTGGTACAACTCAATAGCAAGGTGGACAAAGCGTTTATTAACAGGATGTCAATTGACATTGATGTTTATTGACAGACTTAGTCAGAACAGTCAGAAAGGATAGAACAGCCGATCGTATGAACTGTATCCTTTATTTATTAACGAGCAACAAAAATGCCAAGTTTTTCCTTAATACTCGTTGTGAGCAAAGGACGAAAGAAAGTTGCTATGCCACCTTTGAAATATTTTATGAACTCCTTAGCGTATCAACGGTATTAATCTGCTGATCCAGTATGGCGTCTGTTGTAGAAGCAGCTGCTTACGTTATTTCAAAATAATACTCTCTCTGTGGCTATTAAAGAGCCGGTGAACAAAGAGTGTAACGTTCACGTCAAGTCAAATTACTGGTAATTATCGAGCTCTCTGTGCAATTCGTAGTCTCAATCATCATGACGGATCGGACCGAATTGAGGATGAATGTGGCCGCGTTAAAACGAGTTGACCCCTACGTCAAGGATATTCTGGAGACCGCAACCCACGTAGCCCTGTATACATTTAACGCAGACGAGAACGAATGGGAAAAGACCAATATCGAGGGTGCACTTTTCGTCTATTCGAGAAACGGCGAGCCATACAACAGTATTCTCATAATGAACAGGTTTTTACACACATCTCATACATCTCTTGCAGTGTTGATTGATGAGAGCGCATAATGCGTATTGTGTGTTGCCGGTAGTTCACTGAAAGAGATTTACTGAATTATCTCAATCTAAGACGCTGACTAATATCTTATGCATGTTAAGTTACACTTCCTATGTCAGTGATGAAAGTATGATCATTAGCATAAAAGAATTCTGTTGCAGATTGAACACGAACAATCTAGTTGAACCAGTTGCTCAAGGCTTGGACTTGCAATTGCAGGAGCCATTTTTGCTCTACAGAAATTCTAGATGCAACATCTATGGTATTTGGTTCTATGAGAAAGAAGAGTGTGTGCGTATTGCAAACACAATAAATAAATTGTTGAAGGAATCAGAAGAAAGTCGCAAAATCAACAGCAAACCATTAGCCGTAAAGGCAAAGAAAGCTTCGGGACCTAATGTGAATAATGTAGATATATTTAGTATGCTCAGCAAGGCACAGGAAGACTTCAATACAAGTAGAAGCTCGGGAGGTGGTGGAGGTGGTAGTGGCGATAGCGGGAGTGTAGTAACAGGGACAAAATCTCCACTGGTCACACCCACAGACAATATTCCTGGACCGTTGAATGCTCCTTTAGGGCCTGATGTCACCTCGCAGAGCGTAATGGACTTCTTCGCCAAAGCTAAGGTTGGTGTCGCGCCTCTCTTTACACCGTGTACACATCGAGTCAACAATACGTAGAACGTATTGTTGAAATAATAAGCAACTCATTTTGTTTATTTCTGAACCAGGTGAACACAGGACATTTCAAACCAGGTGACCAGCCTACTCCCGGAGGTGCGGTCGTGGTCGAGAATAAACCTCTACTAGCGCGTCTAATGTCCCATCCGGCGGCACATACTTTGGAGCATATTGAGAAGCAGCAGAGATCCTTAACGCCGCAACCATCAACCCATCACCAGTCACAACCACCGTCGACGAGCGCATTAACTCCGAACAATGTGAGCAGCATTTCCTCTTCGAACAGATCCAAGAGACGGAACAAAGCGCAGCAAGACTCAATGATGTCCACGCCAGCGCCAATGTCGCAGGAACTTCAGCTACCAGTGAATCAGAGCGATTCGAACGGGTCGACCGGATTTCTCAGGATACAGTCCCCGACTAGCACAGTGTCGTCTTCAACCTTAAGAAGTCAGCAGACCTCGAACATTATCAACAATGCGAATCCGCTCGCGTCATTATTCGCTCACGCAATCGGAAATACGGTAAGAAAAGATGCACAGATAGTTGCTTGAGCTTTTGTGCAGAAAGTACGTGTAGCGCCTTTGATTACCCGACAGTATGCATAAGGATATTCATGTAATTCTCTTTGTATTTTGCAGTCATCGGACGACATTATCCCGGCGCCCACGTTGTCAGGAAGAGGATCGGCACCGGCGTTGATGCCTCCTGTAATGTTTGCCGCGCCTAGTCCACCGGAGTCCTTGAACAGACCGTTAGAACCGTTGACGAAGAATCAGCTTTTGCAAGCGTTCAACTACTTGTTGAAAAGCGATCCTGACTTTATCAACAAACTTCACGAGGCTTACGTCAAGTCCTTTGGAGAGATACTCTCTTAAGTTCGCTGTCATCGCGACTGAACCCGCCAAGGACGGGTTAGGTTGACAGGCGACTGATTTCAAGCAACTCATGCTAAATCTCAATATTCCTATGTTACATGCATGTACATAGATCAAAAGAAGAAAAGAAAAGAAACATGAATGTCACGCTCGAAATTCGATTGACTTGGGAAGGCAAAATACCGTCTTTTTTTCTTTCTAAAAAAACGGGCCGGAAAACACGCAGGTGTGAGAGTCGAAAGGGCGATACATACCTTGAGCAGTATTTTTATAAAAACAATCCGGCACCATCTCCGTGCCGGTGGATAAAGTACAGGCGGTTTTGTGCGTATAGCGTTGGTTAGACGCGCGCAACCGCGAGAAATTTCGCGGGAAAATGCGGGTAAATGGTGTGCATGGGACATGATGAGCGATTTTTAAACTGTGATGCCAAAACATTTATATTATACTCGCGTTTTATGGTTGAAAAAATTTCAATGCAGCACGAGAACGTTTCTGATCAAATGGAACACCTATTTTACAGAGTAATGACGTATCCTTCCTGTATATCGGATACCGATGTGGTATGTGCGTGTTAATGATGACAAGGAGCAAATAAATAGAGACAGAACTCTGAGAAGGCGCTTAAAATACACTTTTACTTTGCTCATTCTCGTTCATTCCTTACACAAGTGACACGTGTAAAACGGAGTCTATATATTATAGAGGTAAACGTCCTAGATATATATATATATATATATATATATTTATATTTATTCGTTATTATGTCGTACTATCACAAATAGTGTTTATATGGAATACGCTTACAAATACGTGTACAAAGTAACGCCTTTACAAATGTCACGGCCATATCTTGAAGTCGCGACGACGACCGCCGCGGTATACTACGTGTACGGTATATACGTGTGTACTCCCGAATTTCTTTTCCCTCGCAATGTCTAGCAATGTCTAGCATTCATCTTTCCGAGATGTAGCTTTCCCGTTCTCTTATTCTTCAAGGCTGTCATTCATAGCGGAAAGTTTATGCGACGATATTCTTAGGGAACATCGGTCTCTCGCGATGTAATGTCACCGATCGTGATGACGTTGCGAAATTGATGTATCGTTCGACACGATAAAAAGAAAAAAGAAAAATACGTAGATACAACTATTTACAGAATCATACAACGACACAGGACGTGCGCTCGCTACACGTCGTGGTGACGTCGTGTATTCGAAGGACCCGAAAGCGGACCTCCTGTGGACCATTCTCTCACTCTTCGAGCTCTCGCGACGCGCCGCCGCATCGACACGTTGTTTCGAAGAAATGCAACAAGTAATACGTCGCTATCGTCGCGCAAATATAATTTACAGTAGTTGCTCGTTTCTTTTTTTATTTTTCTTTTCTTTCTCGTAAAATTCACAGCCGAGTAGAGCCTTCGACGGCCCGCTAGCTTTCTAAACAGCCTCTCGTGGCTGGACTTCGGTATATGACTCCGGCGGTTCCGCGCGAAGCTTCGCGCACTCACGCGTGAAATGTATCGTAAAAAATCAACGAAACGTGGTCGAATCGAAGGACTATGTACACAAAGAGATCCTTACACTCTACCAAGTTCAAGGCTAAGTGAAGTCATACACCAAAGCCAGCGCAATCGCGGCTCCGCTAATTAAACTACTACTTAGAACACTTTGTGTCGAGAAACTTTGTCTTTGGATCGCGGAACTTCCTTCTTAAACCAGAGGCACTTTCGGTGGTCCGAGTAAGGGCGGCCCGTTCACGGACGTCCGGTGCGGCACGAGCTTGCCGCTCGCGCGGATCGGAGCTGGCACAGGCTGCAGCAATCTCACGGCTAGGCTGGCGAGTATCAGCAGAACCACCACACCGCCGACGGACACGACGATCGTCGTCGTCCTGAACCAGCTGTCCGTCGTCCCTTGACTCCCGTGACTGTTGGGCTGCATGGGGCCTAAGTACGCTCGTTGATCGCCCACCAACACTAAACGACAAAATAAAGTAGAGAAGTAGAGATCGTGTTCGAGATACCATTCTCGGTTTTCCATTACTTAGTTGACGATAGATTAACGATATCCTTGTGACAAGATGAAAAATAATTTGTCACGCAATATACTGTTGAAATATCGATTGAATTTCTCTCGATGGTGAAGGGAGTCTCATTGTGCTCAAAAGAGAACACTCGAACCTTGCAGAGACTTGTTGAGCCTGTTCTTCATCGCAGGACTGTCCACGTGGTTACAGAGGTCCTCTTGGTTGCAACAGAGATATCCCGCGGGACACTGGCGATTCTTGAGGCCCTCGTTCAAGCAACCGCTACGAGTGCTCTGCTCCATCCTTAGAAGTGTGTTTGCGCTCGACGGTAGTTCCGTAAAGCAGACCTTACCGCGGCACATATATGCCTGAGGTACGCAATCTGGTTGATTGCAGTAGCATCTGACCTCTCTCACATTCGACGAATCTGGAAGGAAAAAAGGTGTGTGGATGTGAGTCCCCGAGTAAATATACGTTTAAATTTGGAAATGTACACTTTGTCGTATGTCGGTGAGAAACGAAAAGGAAGCGCCGATAATTGTACGGAGCATTCTCTCTCTCTCTCTCTTTCTCTCTCTCTCGAAGACATATTCAACCTGCCTAAATTTGCAACACTGACAAGATTATTTTTATCTTTCAACTCGTTCGATCTCTCGCAGAGTCAACGCAGTGCGTTTTACCGGGGGAAGAACGTCGGATAAAGTCAATTAACTCTGGATATTTCTCGTTCTCGGACCTCGGTCTAAAATTCGTACAACGCTGAACTCTCCGGGGACCACCACTACGACGACGTCCAGCGTCGCGCTTTATTCTCGCGAACGGCCGGGAGCCTGCATAAGGAAGCAATTGGGCCTTTTTGTCGGCTTCCAGAAGCCGAAAAGATCGAGAGAGAGACTTCAGACGGGCTGGAGAACCGCGCTTACCGTCGTTCGATTTCACAAAAGCCGAAGCCTCCAAAGGCGGCGCACGCGTGCGTGCGCAGCACTCTCGCATAAATCACTCGCAAGAGGAGCGACATCGAATCGGAATCTTCAGCGGCTCTCGGACTACGCGCCAACTCCGAAAAGTCTCGCATCGCTACGTATCGGAGCGTGCTCTCGACGTTACGCAAATATACACACCGCAGCGCGCCACGACGACGAGGGTGGGCCCCATCCCCGACGCTGCAGCGTTAATGAGGACCGCACGAAATAAACGAGAAGGAAAAGAATACAGAGGGAGCAGGGGAGCGGGAGACGCGAGGTACGTTTATTATGATATTGCGAGGCCATCTTTATCCGCGAGCATACCCCGGCTTCGGCTTCGTTTGCCCCAACCCCTCGTCGTCTCAACCATCTTGCCAGTTCCCCATCGCGACCTCGTCTTTCCCCACCGGTTTCTTGCTAATAAGCCCGCAGCGATGTCTTGCATGCCTCTGTTTCGATCTCTCTCTCTCTCTCTTTCTCTCTTTCTTTCGTTATCTATCTTTCTCTCTCTTTCTCTCGCAGTTTGCAAGCGAGCGCGCTCCTCCTTCCCTCTCTCTCTCTCTCTCTCTCTCTCTCCCCCTCTCCCTCTTTCAGTTCGCAGCCTGTAGGGGTCCAGCTCTCATCGGGGAATAAAAAACGCTAAAACAGCCGAGTCACAAAAGAAAGATTAAAGTGGAGAGGATATATGGAGAGAGGCATGCGGCTCTCTCTCCGTTGTGCGTGCGCTCGTTCGTGAGTCGTAACTCTGTCCCTCTCTCTCTCTCTCTCTCTCTCTCTCTCTCTCTCTCTCTCTCTCTCTCTCTCTCTCTCTCTCTCTCTCTCTCTCTCTCTCTCTTCCTCGCCCTCTTTCGAAGCAACTTCGTGGCCGAATAACGCACGAGAGACAAAGAACAGAGACGCGCTTGACGATTTCATCGCGTTTCTCGTCGCGATTATCATTACGTGTCGCGTGTTGGGAAATTACACGTGAACTCGAGAGGATATCTCGATCTCTCTCGTGACGCGCCCGTCGAATGCGATTATCCTCCCTTCTGGCCCTCCTCACCCTCAGACTTTCACGTTCACGTAGCACAACCGAAATTACGAGGGCCTCGAATCAAAGACAGAAACAAATGTCACGATCGAGATATCCGCAATTAGCAACGATTCTGCACGAAACTGCTCCTTTTCATCGAACGTACACGTCGCATTGCCGGCGATATTTAAAGCGTCATATTTTTTCTTCTCTTGAGGCCGGCTATTTAAGATCTATATTGCAAGGCGGTTGAATTGAAATAAAGAACAGTGGCCGCCTCCGAAGGGAGAGCTCGGGGGACAATCCTGGGCGCGCGCGCGCGCGCGTTTAAAATAAAAAGGGAAAGGGGAGAAGAAACCAGCGGGAGGTCGAGGGGCCCGAGCGAGAGAGATACGGCCGACAAGCTTGAGGTCGAGGAAGAGCCGTCCGAAAACAAACAGACTGCATCGCAGAGTCGTTCGTTATGCGTCCATGGTATATTAATTATTCCCCGGCCCGGTCTCGATGCGCCGAGTGCCTTCACTCTTATTGCCCGCGCGCGCGCGTTTCTCCTCTTTCCTTTTTTCTTTATATCACGTTCCTTCGATATACCGGGGGGGGGGAGGGGAGGGGAAGGGCGAGGGAGACGAGCTAGCCGACTGCGCCGCGAGGTCGATGTACACCAGTGACGAATATCGAAGGTTACATCGGTCTCTCTCGATTATCAATTGCAAGTGCGAGCGAATGGAACTCCTACGTTTTAATATGACGTCCAATCGGCCGCCAATCGTGCGTCGCGCGAGCGAGCAAACGGACACGAATAAATCGACGAGCGAGGAAACACTGCGTGTCGTTGCGCTGCGAATCGCGCGCGCGGGAGTTTCTCCGAGTGAAAATCCCGGCTCTACATTGAGATTCCGTCGAATCGTGAAACACTTTCTTGTCTCTGTTAACGCTGGAAATAGTTTCGTCGGGGCTCAAAGAGGAGATTTAACCCTTTCGCTGTTAGTGGGAGATATACTTCCCATCTTTTCTTCATTCAATTTTGCGTTGTAAATCACATAATTTCGAAGGACTAATCGGGGATTTGAGTTCTCCAGATACCAGAGAACAGTTGTTCGACATACTCCAATAGGTTTTTATACCCAATTATTCATTTGTGATTATTTATAACAAATCAAAGTTGAGAAAAATGCTCTCTTTAGGGAAAAATCGATTCCTCGGAGAGTATTGAATGTAAGAGAGGTCTGAAATTGTCACTAAATATTTTTCTGATCTTGTGCAGAAACATATATTTTTTTTCAGTATTTTTTTGCAGGCTAGATTTTTTCTATAAACAAATATTTCTACAAAAACGGCCGAAATTTGATTTTTTGCACTTTTAGCTCTATTTTCCTAGTTTTTGTATTCTGTATCTCCATCTTATCCATACTATCAATATTATTTTACTAAAAAATGAATGTTTAATCTCTAGTAAGCATAAATATGCAGTATTGAACATTTTCCCACACAAATTTTTTCCAGCTCGATCGAGTTCCATCGTCTAGAATCATATGTTCTTGTTACGACCTGGTCATTATTTAATAATAATTGGAATTTTCATTAATTTTGTACATCATGATCGCCATATTGAATCCGCCATTTTGAATTTTGCAAATCTGACTTTAGATTCAGCGTAATCAGCGACCCGAAAAACGTAGGGCTACCAAATATTTTAATAATTTTCTCAAGCGAAGTTAATTCAGCGGTGAAAGGGTTAAGGATCATTTGACATGATCGGTCTTCTCCCAGGAGAGACTGAAATTAAGACTACACATGCAGCTGGAGAATATCTAGTCACTCAAATGCTGAATAATTCTTAAATAAACATTTCGAGGCCAAGAGAGAACAGCAACAGGTAACCGTCTGTAGCAAGGCACGGCAATAGCTTGCATCACTGTACATGTCTCAACTCTCCGCTAACCCTCCTCAAACTCCGGATTTCAATTTCCGCAGTTGTCTCTCGACTTATCGGCTGCGCTCTGTTTATTCTCCGGGAACCACGCGTGCATGTTGTCGTCTCTCTTCGTAAAGAAAAACGGACAAACCAGCCGATAATGCCCCGCGAGGATACGATCTCGCGAAAAGAAGCGCCTCTGAAGCGTTCTAGATAAGAGAGCGCGCATTCGGCGCAACGAACGCTCCCCGCGTGATATTCGCGAGCGAGAGCCCGAGGGAGAGCCGTCGTCGCCGTCGTCCGCCCGAGGATAGAAAGCCCAGGCTGGACGACGGAAACGCGATTCGAACGAGCACCGTTGTACATGCAATTAGAGGAGCGACGACCTATGTACGCGTACATACATACGACTGCGGTAGATATCTAGGCGCACGCCAGAGTTGTGATGAAACTAACGAGCCTCTCTCGGCTCGCCTCGAGTGCTACGAGAGCCTGCATGTAAGCCGCGCGCGCGCGCGCGCGCGCGAGCGAGCGAGAGAGAGAGAGAGAGAGAGAGAGAGAGAGAGAGAGAGAGAGAGAGCGAACGTTGCGCAACAGCGTCGTGCACGAGGTACACGGCAGCTCGCGCGAACTCTCTATTAAACGCCGAATACATCGCACGAACACGCACACTTTCCCAATTAGCGCGCTACCGGCGAGCGGCGGCGAGAAACACCCCGCGCGTAACAGCAATTAGCGTGAGAGCGAGAACAAATTGCGTTGCCGTGCGTGCGTGCTAGCGTGTGCGCGCATGAACGGCGAAATTGCCAATTTGCGGCCGCGACTGCGATTTCCAGATCGTCGCGCGCGCGCGCGCGGCTCCGTCGAAACCTCCGTCGCGATTCTTCGCGTCGCGTGTCCGCCCGCGATTGTTATGCGCGACCGTTCGCGCGCTGTATTACGATACGGTGCCCCGCGGTAATTGTTGTTTTCTTCAGAACGCGAACGCGCACGCCGACCGGCGCGGCGTGTGCAAGCAAGGGGAATATTAACCCTTTGCACTCGGAAATCGAGCTACACTCGGCGTGACGCTTTGCCGTGAGGTAAGCCGATTTTGAGTCGATTTAATCGAAGATCGATTAATCGGAGCCTAAGGGATCGATTTCAAGTCGATTTTCTGGGACTGAATCGATTCAAGGATCGATCTGTAAATTCTGAAAATCGCCAACGCGATTCTTTCAGTTTCTACTAGTAATACAGTTTCTTTTTTAATTCTTTTTAGTTATGTAATATTTGAACTCACTTAATGGCTGCACGATGCACGTTACGTTGCCTTTAGGCAACGATGTCCCATGGACGAAAATTTTCAGCGGAACGGAACGCGCGAACCAATCACAGCCACTCCATATAATAGTATATATTATATGCATATGTATATGCATATAATAGTAAACGTGATTTCTTATTTAATGACCCTTGATTAATGTTTAATCAAACTAATTAAATCCTTAATATAAAGATTTAAAGATCTTCTTCTACCTTGTTGTGGCCAC